AAAGTTTCAAGAGGAGTGTTTTTCACGTATTAAGAGGCAAATGCAAGAACAACATGATCAATTGCAAAGTGATTTCAACACGTTTGCATCAAGAATAGAAGAAACAGTTGACATCATTGGGGAACGCATGACAAAGATTTTCAGCATGATGAAGAGCTTCTCAACAGCCTCCTTCTCCTCTAGTCAACCTCCACCCCCTGCACCATGATGAAGAATTTTTCAACAGCCTCCTTGTCAACATTCTTGGGGAACACATTATGAATGTTAATTATGATTATGTGTACTTCAAATACTTAGCTTAATGTACAAATATTATTTTCGCCTTTTGTTTATAAATAGATTGATTTCAGTGGATGTTCTTAATAAAGATAGTCTTTTGTTTATAAATAGATTTGTTTTTTGTTTATACATATGTGAACTACTCCTTTGAATGCATATGTATATGTAATACTAGACATACCGAAAGACATCAAAATTCAAATCTCAAATGAAATGCATATCCAAAATTCCATCTACACTCGGAGTCTGCAATGTGACGATAATATATACTGAAAACATTCATAATAAGTTACATTAACGTCATTATCATGAATTCACTACCCTACACAACCAATGACGAAAATACTAAAAATAAAACAATTGAATAAGCATACAACTCAACTGCATTTGGCAGAAATTAACCAAAGCATGAAAAATTTCTACCAAATACAATTCTATATGCTTTAACCTATCAACAATATCAAACATCTCCCAACGAGACATGTTCATCATTTACAAACTCATGTCCATTATAGAAATTACTTTGTCCTGCGAGATTCTGAACCAGACCAGTGGACATCTGTCATTGTTTAACAACCACAATTTAGCACACATTATAGAAAACTTAAGGCAATTACAATTATACAAGATACATAACACATACCTGGGTAGTAACAACATCATTCGATAACACTTGAGTTTTCGCATCGGCCACGGAAGCACATGAAAGAAACTGTTCCTTTTGTCACTGTATCGATGATAATTTTCCTAAAAAGTATCATAACACATTAATAATCAAGTTAGTATTATTCTATACTTCAAATAAGTAAATAATATTTCAAAAAATTACTCAAATAATATATAACTCATACCAATTCTTTGTTTTTGTAATTTTTTCTTTTTAACCCTACGTACAATTTCTTCAACCTTCGATTGCTTTCTTCTACATGGAGGACGACCTTTGCTATGAGCTGCATGTGGACTAATAATTAGACTATTCCCCTCTTTCGGAGGACTGTCCCTATCTTGACTAGTCAAACCGGTTGTGGAAGAGATGTTCACTGTTGTACCAAGCCCTCCCTCACTTTCCTTTTGCTCCAACTTTTTCCTCATCTCAATCATAAACTTCGTCATCATATCATAATCTTCCTCATTGTTTGATGCCATATCTGCTACTGTTAGCATTAAATTAGACAACTTATCAAAACGTTGTCCTTCAATGCTTGTGCTCCACCTATTATAACTGACCTTAATTTTCGTATGACATTTGTTCATATTTTTCCTCCAACGCCGTAAAATGCACTTTTCCGAAACGTGTGAAACCCTTTTATGAATCAACACCATAATGGCATGTCTGCATAAAATCCCCCTGAACTCAAACAAATGACAAGTACAACAAATATCACACGAACTTTCTTCAAAGTATACCGCATACGGAACACGGCGACTACTATCTCCAAACCAAACATCTTCCAAAACTTGATACTCCTCGTATGAATCACATTTTTTCAGAAAAGATAACTCACAATAAATCTTCCTTGCAATCTCTTCTTGAAACTCTTGAAACTTTGCAGTTGTGTATGCACTTGGAAATTGTTTCTCAATGGGGTAATTGGTTATGCATGGTATCCAAGATTTGAAAGATCTAAAATTAGCCTCCCTTTCTTTTTCCACTTTAGCTCGCAATTCATTATCATATTGTTCCACAAATTGTTTCAAAGTAGTTTTGGAATTTACGTACCCATCAAAAAATGCATGCATACTTTCACTACGTTGGATAGTAGACATACCTGTCCAGAAAGTATCTTTAAGAAATGCAGGCACCCATCGTACTCTTTCTTTGTACAATCCACATAACCATGCATTCTCGTGAAGGTTTTGCACATCAACAAATTGGTTCCACTGTTCTTCGAACTCTTCACGCATAAAAGAATCATACACAACATTTTGCAACTTAAACTTTATAGTTTCATATGCCTTATACCCTCTTAACTTTTCAGGCAGTTCCTTCATTAAATGCCACAAACACCACCTATGTCTTGTACCAGGGAAAACAATCTCAATTGCATTTTGCATGGCCTTATCTTGATCAGTGATAATTCCATTAGGAGCAACATCCATGCATTCAAGCCAAGAATGAAATAGCCATACAAATGTCTCAATGTCCTCATGAGAAATTAACCCGCAACCTAACAACATCGAATGTCCATGATGATCAACCCCCACAAAAGCCGCAAATGGCATATCATACTTGTTCGTCAGATATGTTGTGTCGAAGGTGACAACATCACCAAATTCTTTATATGCAGCCCTACATCTAGCATCAACCTATAGCACATTCTGTAATCGACTCTATTCATCTACATCAATCATGTACCAAAAATTTGAATTCTCCTTTTGCATTTTCCTAAAATACTCAAGTACTGCCGAAGCATCTCCAACTCCAAGTCATAGCTTTCTCACTTTTTCAATGTAGTTCCTACAATCTTTTTGTAGAAACGTCAAATTCTCTACACCTCTTGCCTCAACTGAACATGATTGAAAATTTTTACACGGTCTAATCCCAGCCACATCATTAACTTCAAGTCGCCTTTTCACATAAGGTTGTATCGTTCATTTCACCTTGAAATATCTTCTTTTTGTCGGACTTGTAAGATCATGATTATGTTCAAGTATAACTGATTTAATTTCCCATTTGCATTCACCATTCAAAGCTGAACTAATTCGACTTTTACAATCTGTTTTGGCAACAGGTTATTTTTTGAAGGTATTTCTGGACTTACATCTCTCCTTCCCAGAACAAGAACATGCCACTGTCACATATCTCATATCTCCATCTTCACCTTTCTTTGACGTACGTATCATTACTTCAAATCCCATTTTGTTACCGTACCATTTGTAATACTTGACCAGACTATCAACTGAATCAAACACCATTCCAATATGAGGCTCTACTTCTTCCTCTGTACATTCCATATCTTCTAATTCATCACATTCATTTTCCTGATCATTTAATAGTTTTATAATAGAAAAAATTAAAATATACTAATACAACACATCAAAAGAAACAATATGATACAATAAATTTAAAATCATGTTAACGAAAAAGTTAAGGTTTCGAGCACAATTTACCTCAACATTATTGAAATGAGGCAAACTGAACTCTTCCATATTCTGTAATTTAATGCAAAACCAACACTATTGTTCGCGTTCACGAATTTGATTCATAACAATCACCAACAAATATTCTCTATCAGTTTTTTCTATTATAACATATATTCAATCCAAAATAGAATACAAAACTAAATAAATGCATAAGTTAAATAAAAACCGATTAACAACCTCAACAAATCTTTTTAATCTGGACAAATTTTGATCTTCTTATCTCCCTTTCCACTGTAAAAAAATTGTTTGATGAAAAATTTATAGCTTTCGTTCTTGTCACGGTAGCTGGAAAATGAGGAAGAAATGACTGTTGAGGAAGAAACGACTAAGGAATGCAGACGTAATGTAGACGCGAAGAACAGACGGCAATGATGAAGCAGACGTCGGCGATAGGTATAAAATGAAGTTTTCTTTCGCTCAAAGAATTTTGGAGTTGGTTTTTGGAGAAGCGTATTGGAAAAGCTATTATTCGCAATTAAAAAAAAAAATTATTTAAAAAAACATTTCATTATATAATGGACGGGTGTCCATTACTTATGGACGACCATCCTTTACATAAGGGACGACCGTCCAATCCTTATGGACGGCTGTCCATACATAATGGACGGGCGTCCATACATAATGGACGCCATTCCTTCCGAACGCCCGTCCACACTTAAAAGACGGCCGTCCACAATTTATGGACGACCGTCCAAAGTTTTTCTTTTATTTTTTAAAACCAAAATAAATTCCTTACGAACGCCTGTCCATAGTTAAAGGACGGCCGTCCAAAGTTTTTCTTCTGTTTTAAAACCAAAATAATGGACGGGCATCCATTCCTTACGGACGCCCGTCCATAGTTAAAGGACAGCCGTCTAAAGTTTTTCTTTTGTTTTTAAAACCAAAATAATGGACGGGTGTCCATTCCTTACAGACGCCCGTCCAAACGTAAGGGACGACTGTCCAAAATTTATGGACAAGCGTCCCCAAAGTTTTTATTTTTAATTTTCATATTTTAGTTAAGGACGGACGTCCCTTATTTGCTGGCACTCGTCCAAAATGAAGGGACGGCCGTCCATAACGAATGATCGGCCGTCCCTAAATGTTTTTTAATTTTTTAAAAAGAATTGATAATGGACGGACGTCCATTAAAATTTGAGCGTCGATCCAATATTTAGGGACGGCCGTCCATAACCTATGAACGACTGTTCCTAATTTTTATAAAAATTTTTTATTTCATTTTACTTATAGACGAGCGTCCTTTAAATGTGGATACTCGTCTATAGTAAATGGACCCCCGTCCATATAATATGGACGAGAGTCAATGTAAGTGAACGACCGTCCATATTTGATGAACGACTGTTCATTAGAAAAATATTTAATAATATATCTGGATTACTAGTATAAGTCAAGAGATACGTAGATTGGTACACGTTTTCGGTACAAAAATGCCCGTTATTTTTTTTTAGTACCTCGTATTTCAAATAATGTATCAAATAGTGTTTTATTTTTTTTTCTTTGATAAATGTGGAGATTCGTTAGAAAAAGGACAAAATTTAACCCACGTGCTAAAACAAACATTTGACCTTACTCCAGCTTCAGTCTCCAAACGGAGCCTCCACAAAACAAATTGAAAGGCCAGGGCTCGCCTCCGAATACCAAAGTGATGAGTTTCAGATAAACAAACAAACAAACAAAACTAAACCAATTCACACTCTCGGCTCCAAAAATGGAGTCAATAATTTCTTTATCAACAACGACGAAAACGATCACTCTCTTCTCCATTTCCAAAGCTCTCAATCGCCACTTCTTCCTAACCGTTCCACCTAGTCGACCTCTTCTCACGCGCCGACTCTCTTCGGTTTGTACCAAATCGCTGCCGTTTGTTTCGTCTTCAACTTCTCTGAGGCGGAGCTTATGCGGCGTGCTTCCGCAGCGGACGCGGCTCCGTGTGGAGTGCCTGTCAAGCTCCGCGGCGTCGTTTGGGACCGCGGGTGGAAGTGGAAATGTTGGCGGCGGTGACGGCGGCGGAGGAGGAGGAGGAGGAGAATCGGAGGCTGGAGATTCAAAGTCGGAATTAGGTGGTGGAGGTGGTGAAGAGGTCTCGGCTGTGTCTTCTGATGTGATTATACTTGATGTTGGAGTATGAACTCTCTCTTTCTCTCTCTACAAAATATGTACTTGATTTAATTTCCAGTACCATTATCGGCAATGTAAGGCACCATTTTCGTCTTGTAACCTTGCAGGGAATGACATGCGGGGGATGTGCGTCGAGTGTCAAGAGAATACTAGAGAGTCAAGTAAGTTTTTCTTTAATTTAATCTTTCTCAAGTATAATGTAATGATTTTTTATTGGTTTTATCCTGACTTTTTTGGGTGAATTATAAAAATTAGGATTTTGAAACTAGATTGTTGTTGGTATAGAATAAAGAATGCAAAAGACTAAAAACCTATTAAAATTTTTTCTTCATTTTTTTTTATACCTCCACTTCCCTTAGCATTTTAGAAAGTATGATGTTTTTAACTTTTGTGTTGGAAGATACTTTTTTGGTGTTATTTTTTGATGGAAGATGTTGAAAATGAGAATGCAATGTAGCATTTGATTGTCTGAAAAATCCTTTATGATTAACAGATTAGATGACTTGTTAGAATAGAAAAAGTTTATTTGATGAGTGTTTGTTCATACTACAGAAAGAAAGAAAGACGAAAAAAAAAAAAAAAAAAGAGATAAATTTGTGCTCCAATAAACATTAGGCTGAAAAGTTGTATCTGGCCCCTGCACCCTTCTTTTCCTTTGTTCGAAATGAAATTGATTCTGAATGCTAGTCCTTTGGAGCTGGAAGGTTTTACTTTTTGTGACACTCGCTTATGTGGATTTGATTTACCTAGAAACTATTTTTTTTTTTTTTAAGTTCTAAATTTTTGGTAGCATTGCGTTTGACAGATGTTAAAGTTTTCTAATAATGAAAAATAAACCAATTAAATGTATGCGAAACTACCCTGGCATTTTCATGCAGTCAAACATAATCTATATTTTTCTATATGTATCTGTCATGGATAATTTCTTCTTCCCTGTTTTAAGTTAATCCACAATCAGTATGTATCATATTTATGTGCAGCCACAAGTGTCATCTGCTAGTGTCAATCTCACAACAGAGACGGCAATAGTATGGCCTGTATCTGAAGCCAAGGTTGTACCAAACTGGAAAAAAGAGTTAGGAGAGGCTCTTGCAAAACATTTGACCAGTTGTGGGTTTATGTCTAACCTTCGCGGTAAGAACTTTCATGTATTATCATTGCTGTTTTGTTGATTGTGATTGGCGTGTATCTTATCACCTATAAAAATGCTTTAGGCTGGATTGATTCTTTTTTTTTTTTAAAAGCTTCTGTTAGTTTGCAACTTCAGAGAGGTCATTACATGAAAGAATATTTTTCAAATATTGCATCCTCTACATTTTTCTTTCACAGTCATGTTTTAGAGGCTTAACTACTAGATCCTTTGGTGATGCTGCTAGTTCATGATCCCTCTGACATGTTCATACACTATGCATTGAGATTATAGCCCTACTATTATTCAAGGAGGTGGGGTTACTGGGATTATTATGTAGAGATGCTTACTAGCGGTTGTTGCAGTCTTATAAATAGTAGTGGAATATATTGTGTGAATATTCGGACACAAGTCCTTGTTTCTTGATTGCCATGTTACAATTTTAGAGATTCCTAGCAACTTGCACCTCTGGTCATTTTTTAGCTGTGAAGTTGTGAGAATCATTTGGAGTCCCTGGTGTAAGAGAACCACCCAGTGGTGGATATTTTTGCTGCTGTTGCATTGTACATATATACTCCTCAGCACCAGCTCCAGAAAGTTTACTTTCTTTTATGGTTTTTAGCCTGCTGCGTTCTGGTGTGTACTGTATTCGCTGTGAAGACCTTTAGTCTGGGATTTTCATCTCAAAGACTTGAACGTCATTTAGTCTCTGCCCAGACTGAAAGTATAAGTGTTACTAAGTTTTGGAAGTTTAAGCTGTATGGGCTTCCATGTTTCTACTTTCATAGGAGATGCCAAAAGTAATTGACATGAACTGTTTCTACTTTATCTTATGTATAATCATTGACCTGTTATTTACTGAGAGTCATGTATTAGATCAAAGAATTAATTTAGTACTTAAAAGCTTGTGTATCTTTATCGAGTTGTACATTAGCACCTTTACTATGAATCAGAGTATCTGACATAGTTACTGGTGCAGAGGTTTCCATGTGATTTATGTGAAGCTTGGTCGGTTAGTGGCAGGTCAGGAAGCTATTGAAGAAGATATGTCATCATAATAATGCAAAATACTTTGAGGAGAAAACATAATTCTTTGTGGTATGTCCCTCATTTGTGGGCTTTCAATTTTAGCTGATTGTTGTAAATGTCATTTCCTCTATTTGAGACGCAAAAGGATAGGCTTAAATCATTATTAATTTTACATTTCTCCCTCCAATAGGTGAGTCATGGCAGCTACTTGTGGTGGATTGGTTGGAGTGGAAATTCTGGTGCTGAGGAGCCCATTTGTTTTGTAGAATTTATTCATACACTGTTTGATTAACAACATTTAGTAGTTATCAGGAAGCACATATTTTTATTCTTGAAAAGTTGATTTTTAATAATATTTGAGATGTTAATGGACACTTTCACTTTGTATTTTGTTGGCAAAGTTGATTTTGACATATACATATGTGCCAATATTCATGGGGAGATATTTTGTTCGTTCTCTTCTTTTTTGTAGTTTTTATGTGCTGCTCATCTGAAAAGACCTTGAATAAGATTGACAATTTCTAAAAATGTCTTCTTTCTTCTTTTTGCCTGTGTAGTTCTTAACAGTTTCATTCTAAATGTGGATAATTTAGTGAAGATCTCAAATGGGTTTGAACCCAATTGAAGCTTAGTTTTTATTTGCTGTGGATCTAGACCAACTCATATAGAATGCCAAATCTTCTTTTCTTTGGTAATTTATACACTTACTTTATTATTCCTTGGTTGCTGGTTTTTGAGACAGTTTTCCTTTCTCAAATTGTTGTAAGACTTAAATAATCTTTAGCCTGGGTGAGATGTTATTATAAACGGACCTTTTTTATTTAAATTGCCAATTCAATTATTTAAATGTGAAGTTCAGAATTCTCCATGTCATTGCAAGAAAAATTTCAGCCTGGCTCTCTATAAATTTATGGATTTATATTAATATATATTTTGAATTTACCGAAGTGATTTTTGTGTCAAAAAGTCCTTCATATTTAACATTGTGTGCTAACCAATGTGAAATTTAATAACTTCATACGTATTCTTTTCTACATATAATGGAGGCTGACTATACTGGCAGTTTGTTGATTCTTGAAGGTTATTGCATTGCATGTATGTCCTCTTTGCAGAAAAAAATGGTTGCAGTTGTAGTTGACAATTAATTGGTCAATCCTGCAAATGTCTAATAGTGTGATCTGCGCCTATAAATTTCCTTTTATCTTTTTCTTGGCTTCAAAAAGATTTACAGAATAATTACATTTTTACATGAATTCAAACCTTAAAAGGAATATATTGTAATTTTCATTGCAAATGGGTTTAACTAGTGAGGATATCTGCAGAGTATTATTTATCAATCTAAAGTTGCTCGACTACTTTTCTTCTTCTTTTGTGCAGATTCTGGGAGTGATAATTTTTTCAGAGTATTTGAAAGAAAGATGAATGAGAAGCATAGTCGCTTGAAAGAAAGTGGTAAACATCTTTCTTATGTTTTACTTGTTTGAAATTTGGAGTATCATGCTGATGATACACATGCTAAGAGAGAAACTTGAGGCTGTTGCTTTACACTTTTGTAGGCCGTGAGCTTGCTGTCTCCTGGGCTTTATGTGCTGTCTGCCTTGTTGGCCATCTCTCCCATGTCTTAGGAGCTAAGGCTTCTTGGGTCCATGCATTTCATTCCACAGGATTCCATCTGTCCTTGTGTTTGTTTACATTGCTTGGTCCTGGACGTAAACTTATTCTTGATGGTGTGAAAAGCCTCTTTAAGGGGGCTCCAAACATGAATACATTAGTTGGTCTTGGGGCTTTATCCTCATTTGCTGTTAGTTCACTGGCCGCCTTGATTCCAAAATTGGTAAGTGATGATTGGTAGATCACATAGGGTTCTTGTTCCATGGGTAGAGGTCTATTGCATACGAATGCTTGAACATATTGCTGTCTCTTGTGATAAGTTGGTTTTTGGATTTACATTATTTGGCACATTCTTGATACTCTTCTAAATTCTTTAAGATAATGTGAAGTATTAACTTTAATGTTCCTCATGGAAAAGTCTGCTTGCTTGTTTGCTAAATAATTATATTTTAAGTGCTTCAAAACATGCTTTGTTTATTTATTTATTTTTTAGTTTATGTGTCACAATATGTTCTTTAGGGGTCATTATTAGCTTTTGCCTAAACCTCATGCATGCTTATTAAAGTAGTCTACAGTTCTACTCAAATATATATATGATTTTTTTCATCGGTTTCCATTAACTTATGTTGCTTCACATGATTAAGTAGACTTGTCTTGCATGCTTCACCTGGTTATGTTACTTTGGTTTCTTGAACTAATGAATAATTCTGCATTTGTAGAGATTGGACCTGCTAAACCAAGCATAACTTACAAGGGATGCACTTAAGATGGCTATGAAAATGGTTTTTGACATTTTTTATATGTGAAGAAAACTAAGAAAAGAGAGAGAAGAAAACAAGATTATTGCTAACATGTTATTGCCATTTGTTCCTACATTCATTAAATGATTTATAAAATCTAATAGTAAAAGTAAGAGGAACTAAAGTAAAATTGGACAGAAGATTTAGAGCGTAAAGGAGCTATTACTTCTCATTAGAAATTCTCTCAAATCTCTACGAAACTTTGCAAAGGGGGAGGGGGCTTTATGAGGAATTATAAAATATTGCCAACGAAAGGACCCTTGACATAAAAAAAAACTCTGTATGCCACCAGAAGACGTGTTTATATGAAATGGTGGATTACCACCTAGCTTTAACACTCCTCCTTGGAAATATAGAGTTTGTTTTTATGCCAAGTGTCCTTTGGTTGGCAATTTTTCATTGGCTTGGGGGCAGTAAGAATTCTTGTATAAATCCCCCTCCCCCTTTGTAAAGTTTCGTACCAATTTGAGAGAATTTTTAATGAGAAGTACTAGCTCTTTTAAGCTCTAAATCTTCCATCAAATTTTAATTTAGTCCCTCTTACTATATTCTATTACATTTTCATCACACGTGTGTATGGTGTGTTGTAATTATAAGAAATTTAAACTAAAAAAGGCTAAAATGTACATGGGCAGATTAAAGAGGGCTCAAATAAAACATCATTTCATTAACTTCTTTCTTTCAAATGGTGTGTCCAAAATGCATGAGAAAATGGGCTGCATTTGTAGCTATCTACAACTGCCAGCTGCCCTTATATCCAATAAAAATTGAACAAGACTAAAACATGTGTTGAACACATATGTTTATAATGGCATGTGGAATGGGGTGGCTTATAATTAACATGTATAAATTTTATTGGTTTTGAGGGCGGTTGGTTGGTTGTAGATTGTTATAAATTCAGCTGTCTTTAATTTGCTCATTTACATAAAGTATATGTATAAATATTGTGTTAGGATTAGGAGCTCCACTTTTTTTACACAAGTTTTGACACAATTTTTGAGCTGTTACATTAAAGCATTTAAAAGCTTGAGATTGAATCTAAATTATGGTATTTTTTAAGTGCATTATTTGTGCAATTTGCATTGAATCTAAATCACCCAAACTGCTACATCTAATGGCTAAAACTTATAACATTATTTGAGTTCCCCTATATATTTATAATGAGAAACTAAGAAAATTACTTGTACATGATATTTAATGGACAGTGTTAAGTGTGAAGGTCATAAGACTGCTGTCCTGTAATTTATAGCAGAAATAGGTCAAAAAATCTTTAAAGTTGTTAAAGTGAACATGAACTCCTCAATTTTAGACGTGTTGCCAAAACATTGGATCACATGTGCTGAACTGCATCATTCAAAACTAATTAAACATAAAAAAAAAATAAAAAATAAAAAAAAATAAAAAAAGAGAAAGAAAAATGTGCTCACTGAATTGTCCATCATATGCTAAATTCTTGCATGGGTAACTGAAGTAGTCTTGCTGCAACTTTTTAAAGGTTTCCAAAATTGTTGTTAACTTTTTCTGTCAACAATGCATTTGAAATGTGGTTGTGACATATGGTTTCCTAGGTAGTTATAGTGTCAGTACCTAATTTTTTGGTTATTGTATACAGTTAAAATGTGTAATAGTTTAATAAGGTTGGCCGAACTCGTGCGAAGATTAATAGTAACTTAGATCTGGTAATTGGGATTGAGTTTTTTCACTGTAGCGCTTCTGATAATACTGTTTTCTTGTTGGTACTGAAGCATGGCTTTTATATTAATTTTTAATACAGAATGTGGATGTTGCATAAAATAATGTGTGCATTTGATATATCGATTGGCATTATGGACATGTTGGATGGATGTGGTGTATACAGGGTTGGAAGGCATTCTTTGAGGAACCAATTATGTTGATAGCATTTGTCTTGTTGGGAAGGAATCTTGAACAGAGAGCTAAGATTAAAGCAACCAGTGATATGACAGGACTCCTTAGTATATTGCCTTCAAAAGCTCGTCTTCTGGTTGATAATGATGTAAAAGAGTTGGGATCAATTGTTGAAGTTCCTTGTAACACTCTACATGTTGGTGATCAAATTGTTGTACTTCCTGGGGTAAGTAAAATCAACTCTCACATACCTCAAGATTCTATCTCTTCTTTCCTCGATAAGAAGCATGAGTATAATACTAAATAGAAACTGAAGTACAAAGTTATATAAGCAAGCAACTATTGGATTTCTACTTTTATATTTCCCTTTCCCATTTCTTGTTTTGTAAATATCAGTGAGCTTCTCTTTAATGGATCTGATCTTTGTTTTAGATGTTCTTTATGTGTTTGCTTATCGTGGGATAATTATCATCCCCAACTTGCTATTTAATAGTTATGATATTGCTTTGTGTAGTTTCACATGAAAATTTTGAGGTGTGGCATGATTTTCTGAACATATCTTTTTGGCATCTCATCTTAGGATCGTGTTCCAGCAGATGGAATAGTCAGAGCTGGTAGAAGCATCATTGATGAGTCAAGTTTTACTGGGGAGCCATTGCCTGTGACTAAATTACCAGGGGTATGATCTTTACATACTTGTATCTGTTTTTCCTACCCAAGACTCAGATTGCATGTTGTATTGATGTTGCATAGTTTCTTGACCATTCTTCTCAGAAATGGTCCTTCCTTTCTTTTCTGTTTCATTGTCCATACTCCAGTAATTGTAGCTGCTTTTTCCTTTTTCAATCATGCCATAGTGAAATTTATGTCTGTGCTAGAGTCAAGTTGCCGCTGGAAGTATAAACCTTAATGGAACCCTTACAGTTGAAGTGCGGAGATCAGGTGGTGAGACTGCAATGGGAGATATTGTTCGTTTGGTGGAAGAAGCTCAGAGTCAGGAAGCTCCTGTACAGCAGTTGGCTGACAAGGTTCTTCTTTTTGCATCTTTTGCTTTGGTTAATTTGATTTTTTTTCTCTGTAATGGTTGGAAGGTGATTCTGTAAGATTAAGATTTTTAGGTCATGGTATTTGATGTGGAGGCATTTGTTATTCTCTGTGTATATCACCTTTTGCATTTGTGGTTAGCACTACTTTTGATGTGCTTTCACTATAGAATTGCATGCAACAAAGCTTTATATTCTAAATCAGGTTTTGAAGTTTTGTAGTAGTGGTTTGAGTGGGAAAAGGAGAAACATTGATAACTAAAAACTACCTAAGTTTGGAGATGCTTTCTAAGACATTGCCAATTGATTTATGTAAAAGCATTCTAGTGCTTGTTAGAATAAAAACAATCCCATCACTGCAAAAATAGGAAGGAAAAAGTTCTTCCCTGATCTTCGTGTGGTGTAATCCATTGAAAGTCTTTGATGATTTAAGGTGAAGTTTGAACCTTGACTTCTTAAATAGGACTTTCTCTATCTTAATTAGAATGGGAACTTTTCTAAGTGAAGTTTGATTTTTGTTCTGGCTACATTTTAGTAGTCCCTAAATGTCATTTTCCTTCTGTTCCCCTCCTCTACAAGGTAGAAAACGAGGAGGAGAAAATTAAGAGTATATAAGTTTTGGTGGGGGTTAGTTATCTGTGAATTGGCATGGTAGACGCATGATAGGTTTGGTTGAGAATAGCTAATTAGTTGTGTTTGTTGATATTTAGTGCTCTTGAATCGAGTTTGTTGCCATTTAATGGACTGCCATTTATGTTCTCATAAGTTTTTGGTTTTCCCAGGTGTCTGGGCACTTCACTTATGGAGTAATGGCACTTTCAGCTGCAACATTTATGTTTTGGAACTTGTTTGGTGCACATATTCTGCCGGCTGCTATTCATCATGGAAGTTCTGTTTCGTTGGCCCTACAACTTTCTTGTAGCGTTCTGGTATGGTTCTTGGATGTTTTGTCTCTCCCTTTTTACATCTTTTTAAAAATAAAATTATCCCTGTGTAACAATCTATCACCTATTCATATGAAATTAAGCTCCATTAAGGCTTATTCACTGTTATGATTTTGAACCGTATGAATCTTTTTTCAATTTTTATCTTTTATTATAACAATTTAACTCTTGTTTCTTCATAATTGGTTCATATGAGATTGGTTCCTTCATTTGATTTTTATTTTCTATTTTTTTTTTTTATTGTATGGGATAATAATGTGTTAGAGGGGCTTAATATCATCTTTTGGGCCCTTACCAATAAACTTAAGCTTCTAGATGAAGTGGCTATCTAATACAGTATGAGAGCTAAAATATTAATGTTGAACTTATCTAATAGTTAAAGCTCTTGAATTAAGTGGCTACTTACCATGTTATTAGAGAAAAAGGCCTTGAGTTCTGATCCCCTCGGTGTCATGTGCTGGGTATTTCCATTTGTGTTTGATAGTTGGTATTGGATCTGTGCCATCTGAGTTTGGTCCTGGCCATGTTGCACATGAGTGGTTTGATAGATAATAATGAATATTATTGTTTGGGCCCCTTGCCTGTCAGCTTAAACTTCTCGGTGCAGTGATTACTCAATATGTTTAACAATTGAGGGGGTTTAAAGATTAATTTGTCTCTTATTATTTTTATTATTATTATTTTGATAAGAATTCAATTTTCGTAATAATAAGGCTAAGGGACTGGAGTCAGAAAGGAATTTCAAGAGGTTACATCAGGAGATTGATGTCTTTACCTAAATTGTCTAAGATCCTTCTATGCTTTCTTTGCCTAATCACTTATAAAGTACCTTAAACTGGGCACTTCCATCAGAATTTCTTTTTAGGAAACAAAGTATAGGATTTACAAAAGAGATCAAAACTTATACATGTAAGTGAACTAGTTGTCTACGAAGAGACTTTAGCTTTGTTACCTCTACCAAAAGCATCCTTCCAAAACTAAAGGGTTGCTAGAGGCTGGAGTTATCCAACGGAACATTGCTGCTTGAAAAAGTTTTTACCACAAGCTAATTGTAATATTACAGTGGAAAAACAGGTGATCTGCACTTTCTTCATCTCTCCTGCGCCTGACACCAAAATGAGACAAACACATTTGGTTTTCTTCCTAGAATGATGTCAGATGTATTAATCTTATCTTGAACCTAGCCTAGGCAAAAACTTGAACCGTACAAGGAGCTTTGCCTTTCCAGATTTTCCTTTTTAGGTGGAGAAGGTTTTTAAAGGTCATCAATGAACCAAGTGAAGTAGGTACCCAACCCCAATTGCCTTCATAATCCATTCTTAGCTATTCCGCAAAACAAAAAGACTGCATACTTTTCTTTACTTATGTTGGTAGTTCTTGAATTCTCCATCACTTCTATTACATGCAAAACTGAACCCCTATTTTATAATGCAGGTAATTGCTTGTCCATGTGCCCTTGGCTTAGCCACACCTACAGCTATGCTGGTAATCTCTTTGTAAATACTGCAATAATCAATTTCAGATTGGTAATGTGGTCAAGCTCTTTATTTTAAATTGCGTTATGGTTGATATTAGCTATTTTCAGGTTGGAACCTCATTAGGGGCAAGAAGAGGATTGCTTTTGCGTGGCGGAAATATTTTAGAGAAGTTTTCCATGGTGAATACGATTGTGTTTGACAAAACAGGGACCCTTACAATTGGTAGACCTGTAGTGACAAAGGTTGTCACTTCTGGAAGCCCAAAAAGTACTGATCCCAGGTACAGTTTTCAAAAACTCTATTACATCATTGATTCCAGATGTCTCTAAAGTTGTTTTGATGATTTTTACTTTGAATAAAAGTTCTAAGTGAATCTTACTTGAGTTTCTTATTAAAAAAAAAAAATAAAAAAATAAACTGCTTTGAATGATTCTGAAATCATATTAAAAAAAGTTGTTTAATATTCAAGTATAAATGTACATTTTACATAAAACTTGAAAAAAGAAGGAAGTTGTTCCAGTTGCATTATTTTTTTCCGCTACTTATGAATCTATAGATTTTAAACTATTTAATTGTAGGTAGACTTGGCAAAACGGGCAGGTGGGCCGGGTACGGGTTGGGTCCAAACGGGCACGGGTCTAAAACGGGTCGATCTAAATAGGTTCAATATATTGGACCTGCATCCTACCCTATGTGGGTACGGGTGGACCCGCGGGTACTTGTACAATTTTAAAGTTTTAATATTATTTTTATAATATCTTTTTCTTTTTGATTAATGATTAATTACCAAAAACTTTTTGACCAAATAGACCTACACCTAAGCTAAATGCCCTTTTTTCCTTGGACTTTGTTGACCTTTTGTCAATTATAAGAATAATTAATTGGAACTTTATATGAAATGCGTTTTGATCCAGCTGGAAAACAGTACTAACCTAAACTCAACTGCTTTCTTCTTCTTCCCTTCAATCTTTTGGACTTCTTCTTCTTCTTCAGTTTTCTTCTCTCTCAACTCCACTGTAATCAATTATTCCCACTAAAGTTAAAATCAATTGATTGATGTTCATTGTAATCTCTCTTCTTCTTCTCATTTCTCTGCGAGCTCTCAATCTTTAAGATCACTCAAAAACACTTTCATTGACAAACCTCTCTCACAGTCTCACCCCTTCAGATGCCATTTACTCTGAAACCAGATCGCTTCATTTTTCACTCCTCTCCTCTCTTTGTTCCTTATTTCTTCTTTACCAAAAAAATAACAATACATTTTTCTCTCCTTGTTCTGCTATTTGAATTTGCACCCTAGTTGTCCTGATATTACTTGAAAAAAGGTTGAAAATGGTGGAACCTACCAGGAATATTTCAACTGTTTGGGTGTTGTTCTCCAAGTTGGCAAGTGGTTGGCTGCTCCGATTGGGCTTTGATTTATGTTGTACAACTACAACACCAACTTTGACAATCTCCAAGAAGAAGTTAGGACCTGAAGAATACAAGAGACGAAGTGCAGGTTAAGGTTACTGCTCCTGAAATAAATTTGGAAGAGATCAAACAAGCGTTAAGGACTGGCAAACTAGGTGACAATACCATTACTGAACCAGAGAATTTGATTGAAGAGAAAGCAGATCCGAGGAAAGTTGCTCTGCGTCTTGTGTTTTTTTTCAGGGATTTCGTTTTGTGATTCGTTTTAGGGTTTTCGTAGAATGTAGATTAGGAATGTAGGATATATTTTAAAAAAAAAAGATTATACGGTACTTGTGGGGGTGTGGGTCCAATTTCCATGGGTCTGTAAGGTTGGACCTGTACCATATATTTATTTGGGGGGGTACGGGTCGACCCGTGGGTACAGACCCGTTTTGCCAATTTAATGCAGTCGATGAAGAATCTAGAATCAGCATCTAATAATTATTTTATGAAATTGTAGCAATTATTTTGTTTCCCAAGATTGATTAGGTTCTCTTTTAACTTATTTGAAATAGAGTATTATTGCTTATTTGAGTTTGATTTAGAGTCCTTTTTCTTAATTTTTTGGGCCCTATAGATAGGGCCTTATTCTTGTTATGAAACAAAATTTGATTTTTATTATATGAAACATATTTATTGAATAATAGATCTATTTCATGTTTCTTATTACTTCTAAATCTCTCTGATTGTTAGAAAAGAGCATAAATTAGATCGAAGACATAGATTAGAATAAATAGCAGAATAGATACACAGAGCTTCTATAAAGTAATGACCATTTCTTATTTGAGTTTGGATTGGGCCACTTTTTGGGTTTTAGGGCATGTCCTTTTTTCTGTTGGTCAATTTTTTGCTACTGCGATAGGGCTTTATTCTTGTTTAGAAACAACTTTGATTGATTGTTAAAATGACACAGATTTATTATCAATAAAATCTATTTCATGTTTTTTATTGAAAAAGGAAATTTGAACTTCTGACAAATGTCTCTAATAGATACAAAAGAGCATAAGTCAGATAGAGAACAGAGATTAGAACATAAGTTTGAGAGAATAGGGCTAGAAGGGAGAAGCAAGTAAGAGGAGCAAGTGGAAATTAGAGAGAGACAATTTAGCCATCATTTTATTTCTTTTATTAGTCTACATCCTGACAAAACAAGAAATGTACTGTTGATTAAACATTCGAATACTGTTTAATTGGGAAACCTTAAAATTGGGAGAAAAAATTATTATTCTATTCCAATGATTCACAGAGGGCATGTTTGGTAATAGGGATTAGACATAGGATTGAATTATAATCCTAAGTTGGAAATTTCTATTTTGTTCCATCTACTTAGATAAAAAGACCTCACGACCTCATTTTCTTTTCTTGTTTATCTACATCAATTTTTTTTTTCTCCTTTATGATGTGTAGGATAGATGCATATTCCAATTCGGTATTCCATCAAATAGGATATATATTTATTCCACTCCCATCTAACCTAGTCTAACCTCATGTACCAAAAAGGGCTCAAAGTCTTACATAAAATTTAAAATTTAAAATTTAAAAGGGTTAGGAATTCAATTTGGGGCATCCATTCGAGTATGTGATAGAATTCTTTCCCAATACTTTCGCACTCAAGTAATCAATTTATATCCAAGCAACCCAAACAATAAACCAGAACAAGATTAAAAGGAAAATGTGTATATTGATATAAAAAATTAGAGTAATACACTTTTGGAATGTAAAATACTGCCTAGCTAACTCATACAATGCTCAAAACAAAAGTAAAGACTCAAAGAAAATTAAGACACCGTTGAGCTTCGAGGGCCAGCTTCCTCCCCTTTCTCTTTGTCCTCACTTTTCTCAATAATATCCCAACATTCGTCCCTTTTTGTATTTCCTTCAGCACTCCCACATAATAGAATGCCGTACTCTCTCTCTAAAATTGCCATCTGTCCTGTACTGCTCTGTCACACCAGTTTGTAATCATCTATTATGCCCTTTTCCCTTTCTATTGTAGACTAACACCTCATTGATTCTATCATTACCCTCCTCAAGAACAGCCATCTTGTCCTCAAGGTGGAAGGAGGGAAATTGGGTATTGATTGTGTGGAAGTCCTCCCAGGTGTGTTCACATGCAGGTAGTCCCTTCCATTGAATGAGAACTTCCCATTGGCCATTCAACAGTCTTCTTTTTTGGAGAACCGTTTCTGGTTCCACTTTCAAAACCAAGTTCTCATTGAGGTTGTTCGGAAGTGGTTGGCTGTTGGGGATAGGGAAAATGGCCTTCTTCAATTGGGAAACATGAAGACATCATGTATGTGAGCTGATGGAGGTAGGTCCAATTGGTAAGCCGTTGCCTCGATTTTGTTTATGATTACAAACGGACCATAAAACCGTGGGCTAAGCTTTCTATTATGGTGCCTTGTCAAGGAGCGCAGTTTGTATGGTTGTAGTTTCAAATAGGCTAAGTCCCCCACATTAAAATTGACTTCTCTCTTCTTCTTATCAGCATATGTTTTTATCCTATTTTGGGCTTGAACCAACCTGTTCTTTAATTCCTGGAGGATGTAGTTGCGGTCTTGGAGTTGTTGGTTGACTTCATCAACTCTGGAGGAATTTTTTACATACTTGAGCACCGTCAGTGGATCACGTCCATATAAGGCTTTAAAAGGGGACATATCAGTCGAGACATTAAAGGTGGTCTTGAACCAAAATTCTGCCCAAGGTACCCATTTTGGACACTGTTGTGGCTGCTCATTAACAAAACATTTGAGATAGGTTTCTAGACAACGATTTACCACTTCTATTTGCCCATTCGTTTATGGGTGATAGGCGGAACTCATATGGAGTTGAGTCCTTGACTACTGAAACAACTTACCTCAAAAATGACTCGTAAAGATTCTGTCACAATTGGAGACGATCGACCATGGAAACCCATGTAGTCAGACTATCTCTTTTATAAATAACCCCGTTACATCCTTAGCCGCGTAAGGGTGCCTTAAGGTAATGAAATGGCTATATTTCAATAGTTGATCTACGATCACGAGGATGGTGTCCACCCCTTGGGCTTTGGGAAGTCCCATAATAAAGTCCATTGACACATCTTCCCAGATTTGGTTTGGAATGGGTAGTGGTTGCAATAATCCAGTCAGACTTAAAGCCTCATATTTGTTTTCTTGGCACACTGCACAAGCCTCCTCATAATTTTTAATATCCTTTTGCATTCCCTCCCAATAGACCACATTACCAATGCGTTTATAAGTTCTGAAAAATCGGGAATGACCCCCCATGGGTGATGAATGAAATTCATGTAGAAGCTTATGAATACGAGGGCTTGTTTAAAGGACTACTAACCTGCCATGATATTTTTAATTTTTTCTTTTTATTTTTAAAAATGAGGTTGGCTAGTTGAATCGATTAAGAGCTGTTGAATAATGTAACGAAGTTTATCATCTTGGTGAATTGTCCCTTCCAAATCCTTCATACCGCAAAACAGCCTATGGACAATGCATTATGTTCCACTTCCTCCTCTTTTCGGGAAAGGGCATATGTAGCCTTGTTTTCCAATCTTGGTCGATATTGTATTACAAAGTTCAATCCCAACAAGTTGATGACCCACTTCTGTTGACTCTCACTCAGCAATTTTTGGTTGGTTAAGAAGTGTAGGCTCTGTTGGTAAGTTCTGATGGTAAAATGGCATCCCAAGAGGTAATGACGCCACTTTTGAGCAGCTAGAACCACTGCCATGAGTTCCCTTTCGTAAACTGATTTCAGTTGAGACTTTATCGATAATCTCTTACTCAGATACGCGAGTGGCCTTCCACCTTGCATTAAGATTGCCCCTAATCCATTACTCGAAGCATTTGTTTCTATCACAAATTCTTTAGAGAAATCTACCGTAGCCAACAGCGGCACACTTGTCATAATCTTCTTCAATAATGTTGTCTGGGTCGATTCATTCTACTCAAAGGCATCCTTTTCAAGTAAAGCCTATTAGGGTGAAGCAATCTTACCATAACCTTAGACAAAGTGTCGATAGTAGCCTATTAATCCGAGAAACCTGCTGAGTGCCCTCACATTCTTCGATATTGGCCATTTGATGATGCTATCTATCTTATATGGATCAACGGCTATGCCTTCAGCTGAAATTACATGCCCTAAATATTCTAGTTGTTGTTGCCCGAACAAACATTTTTTTTTATTCACAACCAACTGATGTTCCAATAGAATTTGAAGAGTGATTACTAGGTGTTCTAAGTGCTCGGTCATCCCTTTGCTATAGATGAGAATGTCGTCAAAGAAGAGAAGTATAAATTTTCTCAAGTGTAGCTTGAAAACCTCATTCATTAGTTCCTGAAAGGTGGAGGGCGCGTTTGTCAACCCAAAAGGCATAATCAAGAACTCATAATGCCCTTCATGAGTCATGAATGCCGTTTTATGGGTGTCCTTAGGGCGGATTTGTATCTGATGATAACTTGACTTTAAATCTAATTTGGAAAACACCGACGCCTCTCCAAGCTCATCAAATAATTCATCGATTGTCAGAATCGAGAATTTATCTGGTATTGTGACTTTATTCACAGCTTTGTAGTCTACGCAAAATCTTCATCCACTGTCTTTCTTCTTTACTAGCAATACTAGGCTTGAAAACTGACTCATGCTAGGCTTTATGATCCCCGAGGCTATCATTTCCTTAACAATGCGCTCTATTTCATTCTTTTGGTAGTGCGGGTACTTATATGGCTGTAAGTTTGGGGGTTGGGTTCCTAGAATTAATTGGTTGGAATGGTTTTGTGTCGTAACTGGTGGCAACCTCGTCAATGGCTCAAATACTTGATTGAACTTGTCTAGCACTCCAACCAGTGTATCATCAATCCTCCCCTCTCTTTCAGACTACCTCTAAATCTGGCCAAACTCCACCAAAAACCCTTGACCTTCACTTTTTACTGTCTTAATCATCGCTTTTAGGGACACCATGGTTTTACTTAGGGATGGGTCTCCACATAACTTCACCGTCCCCCCTCCTAATCTAAACCTCATGAGTTGCTTCTTCTAGTCAATTGCTGTTTCTCCCAAGGTTTCTAGCCATGCCATCCCCAACACTACACTGGCCATCCCATTTTAAACGAAAAGAAATCTTGAACTATCACGATACCTTGTAGCCCCAATTGAATAGCCCTACATTCTCCCTTGCATGAAACTCGATAGCCATCCCCAACTTGTAACCAATGAGATTCCTAGCCTCCCTATTGCCTTTGTGCCAATGAAATTGTGGGAAGCCCCATTATCAATCAAAACAATCAGGTCCTCACCTTGTATATGCCCTTTTAATTTCATTGTTTTTGGTCCATGTATCCCCACCACCGAATTGATGGATAGCTCAACATTATTGTGTGGCTGGTCATGTTTGATCTCCTCACCTCCCTTTTCATTTGTAGGGTCTGAATCTTTTTCTTCTTCATCAAGCAAAATCACTTGGAACTGTCTCTCCCAACACCTATGCCTCGGTGAGAATTTTGTCACATCTGTAGCATAATCTCCTCTCTTTTTCTTTAAATTTCCTCTTCTTTTAGCTTCCTAAAAGGGAAATCACGTCGGTAAGTGTTGGATCTGAAATTTTCAGTTGGCGTTGACCCTGTGTTGGGGACATTCTCGGTGGGTGTTCGTTTAAAGGAAGATGGTGCTTGAGAATTTCTTTGCTAACGTGTTGAGTTAAATGAGTTTATGTTGGGTTGGGTAAAATTGGGTTGGGTCATGTTAGGTTGGGTTGGGTTTTATTGTAGAAGTTGGGCTGAACTTTGTTAAACTCATCAGGCCTGAATGAGTTGGTATAATGATGAGTCCCATTAATATTTCCTCCCCCTTTCATTTGTCAGCCCATTGTTGTCGTGGCCTCTTCCAAGATTTGGTTTCTTTCTTCAATTTTTTGGGCTAGGATGGTAACTTGGGTTAAAGAGTCAGGATGACCCAATATATTGGGCTGTTGGAGTTTAATTTCGGTTCGTATTTCTAGTTTGACTTCATTAAGGAAGGGTGACGTGAGAATTTCTTCTCTCACATCGATGGTCAAGGTCTCCATTTCTTCGAAACGTTGATGGTAATCAGGCACAAAACCGACCTGCTTTGCGGACATGAGCATCTCCAGAGGGCTGACTGCCTAGGCTCCACTGAATTTCTAAGGAGGGCTACCTTAAACGTCGACCAAGTCACCATCGGTGTGTGGGATTTTGTCCATTGATACTAGTGAAAGGCCTCTCACTCCATGCACAGCGCCGTGAAGAGGACTTTGTTTTCTTCAGTGATTTGGTTGATGGCAAAGTACCTTTCAACCTGAAAGATTCAGCTGTAGGGGTCATCACCGGAAAAAATCGGGAGCTCTATCTTTCTTCCCTCCAATCTCTTGGAGTCCCCCCTTCACTGTGGTTGTAACCTCCAATGTCAAGAGGTGGTGGTGGTGGTTTGTGTTCCTTGCGTGTTTCCCCTTCACGTTGGTTTCTTGTTCTAGAGTGGTTACCTTCTTCTTGTACCACGATTCTCTGGCGAGCTTCTTCTTCGATTCTCTGGTGAGCTTCTTCGTCTTCATCTTTCCGTCGCATCTAGTTTTGCGTGTCAACTATTATCTCTCTCATGGATGCAATAGTTTCTGTCAGCTGGGTAAGGTCTCTCTGCATCCCTGTGACTTCTTTCTCAACATTATTAACTATATTCTCCATTCTGGTGTTAACCATACCCCAGTGAGCGACTGCTCTGATACCACTTGATTGAACTCTTTCTCAGTACTAACGCACTCAAGCAATCAATTTACCCAAACAATAAATCAGAACAAGATTCAAAGGAAAATCTGTATATTGATATCAGAATTTAGAGTAATACACTTTTGGAATGCAAAATACTGCCTAGCTAACTCGTACAATGGTCAAAACAAAAATAACGAGTCAAAGAAAATTAAGACACCGCTGATCTTCGAGGGCTGGCTTCCTCCCCTTTCCCTTTGTCCTCTCTTTTCTCAATAATCCCCCGTATCTTGACATTCTTCCCTTTTTGTAATTCCTTCAGCATTCCCACATAACAGAATGCCGTACTCTCTCTCTCTACAATTGCCATCTGTCTTGTACTGCTCTGTCACACCAGTTTGTAATCCTCTATTACGCCCCTTTCCCTTCCTATTGTAGACTAGCAACTCATTGGTTCTATCAGTGTGCTTTCTTTATTTTTTTTTTCCCAGATTGAGATACTTTATGTTCTCGATAAAGTTGGTGCTTTTTTACTGTTTTCTGTTAAATTATAAACTTCTGGTGGACTGATTTTCCAGTTTAATCTGTACAGCTATTTTCTTTTCTGCAATAACTTCTCCTTTCATAGGAAGAGAAGAAAAAAGAATCTTCTGCATAGCTCATATCTAGTGCCAAAGAGAACTAAAATAATATATTCAAAGTTGAAATAGACATTTGAATCCACTTCGTGTACAAACATTTGAAGTAACTCCATGTCATTGATCACTATGTAACATTAAGATAATGTGATACTGCATGCTTTGATGCAGGAAATATTCTACTCATACTTGGTCAGACATTGAGGTTTTGAAGTTAGCTGCTGGCGTTGAAGCAAACACAGTTCATCCAATTGGTAAAGCAATTGTTGAAGCTGCTCAGGCTGCTCACTGTCAAAATCTAAAGGTAAGTTCTTTCCTAACTTCTTCAATGCATCAAGAACAATTGTGTGACTCTTAAATATTAACATTAAAAGAAAAAAAAATTCCTGACAGTATTACTAAAGGGTCAGCAGTAAACTTTAAATTGACACAAACTTTCAAAACTTTAAATTGACACAAACTTTCAAGAATCGTAGTGCCTCTAATGTCTAGATATTTGTAATCATAGGACATTAGCTTATCCATGCTAACTTCTAGCTTTCCTCAACTTTTAGCTGAAACACAAATTCATTGTTGTGACATTAAGTTATTACATGAATGGTTAATTAAGAAAAGAAAAGTAGTTTGAGGTTGACGGATGGTTTCATTTATTTGCTATTGTAAGGACATAAATTGTAGAAAAGTCAACAACCTAGAGCGTTTGTGATAACAATGTATAATTTAAGCTTAGTAAGCTTTGAGAATATCAGTAAAACTAACATGAGAAATTTGTTTGTGCTACTTGTGGTTTGCCTTGCAACATGTTTGAACAATCAGAACCAAATGTTTTGTTTATTTATGCGAAAGTAACTTTATATTAGGTTTTGTTTGAGTTAAGTCCACATAGTGATAGGAATAGCATGATGATATACATATGTGGGTCTCATTTCCTAAACCAAGGAGGATTATTTCTTATTAAATTTAAAAGAGTTTTATTTTCATTGTGTCATTCTAAGGATGATAGGCCATGGAGCAACATAGATCAAACTATATCTAAAGTTGTTTAAGTTTTCAAGACAAATTAATGAGGGTGAAAATTGGTTGGTGAAAATTGGTTTCTATAGTTGTTAACAAGATCAAATCAACAGTTAATTTTGAAAGAAAAGAGAGAATAAAAGCCAACCCTGATTCATTAGTGGATTCCAATTTCCCTATTAATAATGAAATGATTTTTCTGAAACCTTCTGCCAATAAATGGGTTTATGCACTAATTTCCTAGCAAACGAACTCTTGCAATTGTCATTTAATCTGGATTTTCTTAATGATCTCCTTCATCTTGTCTTGTGTGAGAGAAATCGCAGATGTTGGCTTAAAAAAAGACTACATGTCACACTTCATATTTTCTCTACAATTTTCACTTTAAATGGTGGAGATATATATATCTTAATAATACTCTCTCTTGGATGTTCACTAGTTATAGATGATTATATTCGACTAAGATGAGGAAAAATTTAATGGTTTAACATCTGATGGACCCAAAATAGCTAGCTGGTACTCACAGGTGTGTTCACATGCAGGTAGTCCCTTCCATGAATGAGAACTTCCCATTGGCCATTCAACAGTCTTCTTTTTGGAGAACCGTTTCTGGTTCCACTTTCAAAACCAGTTCTCATTGAGGTTGTTCGGAAGTGGTTGGCTGTTGGGGATAGGGAAAATGGCCTTCTTCAATTGGGAAACAGAAGACATCATGTATGTGAGCTGATGGAGGTAGGTCCAATTGGTAAGCCGTTGCCTCGATTTTGTTTATGATTACAAACGGACCATAAAACCGTGGGCTAAGCTTTCTATATGGTGCTTTGTCAAGGAGCGCAGTTTGTATGGTTGTAGTTTCAAATAGGCTAAGTCCCCCAATTAAAATTGACTTCTCGATTCTTCTCTCTATCAGCATATGTTTTTATCCTATTTTGGGCTTAACCAACTTCTTCTTAATTCCGGAGGATGTAGTTGCGGTCTTGGAGTTGTTGGTTGACTTCATCAACTCTGGAGGAATTTTTTACATACTTGAGCACCGTCAGTGGATCACGTCCATATAACTTTAAAAGGGGACATATCAGTCGAGACATTAAAGGTGGTCTTGACCCAAAATTCTGCCCAAGGTACCCATTTTGACACTGTTGTGGCTGCCCATTAACAAAACATCTGAGATAGGTTTATAGACAACGATTTACCACTTCTATTTGCCCATTCGTTTTGGGTGATAGGCGGAACTCATAGGAGCTGAGTCCTTGACTACTGAAACAACTCACCCCAAAAATGACTCGTAAAGATTCTGTCACAATTGGAGACGATCGCCATGGAAACCCATTTAGTCAACTATCTCTTATAATAACCCCTTACATCCTTAGCCATGTAAGGGTGCCTTAAGGTAATGAAATGACTATTTCGAGAGTTGATCTATGATCACGAGGATGGTGTCCACCCCTTGGGCTTTGGGAATTCCCATAATAAAGTCCATTGACACATCTTCCCAGATTTGGTTTGGAATGGGTAGTGGTGGCAATAATCCAGTCGGACTCAAAGCCTCATATTTTTTTGTTGGCACACTGCACAAGCCTCCACATAATTTTTAATATCCTTTTGCATCCTCCTCCCAATAGACCACTTACCAATGCGTTTTATAAGTTCTGAAAAATCGGATGACCCCCCGGGTGATGAATGAAATCATGTAGAAGCTTATGAATACGAGGGCTGTTTAAAGGACTACTAACCTGCCATGATAGAGTAAATGATGCCTCACAAGCTAAAAAAGAGGTTGGCTAGTTGAATCGATAAAGCTGTTGAATATGTAACGAAGTTTTCATCTTGGTGAATTGTCCCTTCCAAATCCTCATACCGCAAAACAGCCTATGGACAATGCATTATTTCCACTCCTCTCTTTTCGGGAAAGGGCATATGTACCTTGTTTTCCAATCCTGGTCGATATGTATTACGAAGTTCAATCCAAAAAGTTGATACCCACTTCTGTTGACTCTCACTCAGCAATTTTTGGTTGGTTAAGAAGTGTAGGCTCTGTTGGTAAGTTCTGATGTAAAATGGCATCCCAGAGGTAATGACGCCACTTTGAGCAGCTAGAACCACTGCCATGAGTTCCCTTTCGTAAACTGATTTCAGTTGAGACTTCATCGATAATCTCTTACTTAGATACGCGAGTGGCCTTCCACCTTGCATTAAGATTGCCCCTAATCCATTACTCGAAGCATTTTGTTTCTATCACAAATTCTTTAGAGAACTAGCGTAGCCACAGTGGCACACTTGTCATAATCTTCTTCATAATGTTGTCTGGTCGATTCATTCTACTCAAAGGCATCCTTTTCAAGTAAAGCCAATTAGGGTGAAGCAATCTTACCATAACCTTAGACAAGTGTCGATAGTAGCCATAATCCAGAAACCTGCTGAGTGCCCTCACATTCTTCGATATTGGCCATTTGATGATGCTTCTATCTTATATGGATCAACGACTTGCCTTCAGTTGAAATACAGCCCTAAATATTCTAGCTGTTGTTGCCCGAACAACATTTTTTTTATTCACAACCAACTGATGTTCCAATAGAATCTGAAGAGTGATTACTAGGTGTTCTAAGTGCTCGTCATCCCTTTGCTATAGATGAGAATGTCGTCAAAGAAGACAAGTATAATTTTTCTCAGTATAGCCTGAAAACCTCGTTCATTAGTTCCGAAAGGTGGAGGGCCATTTGTCAACCCAAAAGGCATAACAAGAACTCATAATCCCTTCATGAGTCATGAATGCCATTTATGGGTGTTCCTTAGGGGGATTTGTATATGATAACTCGACTTTAAATCTAATTTGGAAAACACCGACGCCTCTCCAAGCTCATCAAATATTCATCGATTGTCGGAATCGAGAATTTATTTTGTTTGAACTTTGTCACAGCTTTGTAGTCTACGCAAAATCTCCATCCACTTCTTTCTTCTTCTTTACTAGCAATACTAGGCTTGAAAACTGACTCATGCTAGGCTTTATGATCCCCGGGCTATCATTTCCTTAACAATGCGCTCTATTTCATTCTTTTGGTAGTGCGGGTACTTATATGGCCGTAAGTTTGGGTTGGGGTTCCTAGAATTATTGGCTGGAATGGTTGTGTTGTAACTGGTGGCAACCCCGTCAATGGCTCAAATACCTGATGAGACTTGTCTAGCACTCCAACTAGTGTATCATCAATCCTTCCCTCTCTCTTCAGACTACCTCTAAATCTGCCCAAACCACCAAAAACCCCTGACCTTCACTTTGTACTGTCTTAATCATCGCTTTTACGGACACCATGGTTTTACTTAGGGATGGGTCTCCACACACTTCACCGTCCCCCCTCCTAATCTAAACCTCATGAGTTGCTTCTTCTAGTCAATTGCTGTTTCTCCAAGGTTTCCAGCCCTGCATCCCCTACACTACACTGGCCATCCCATTTTAAACGAAAAGAAATCTTGAACTATCACGATACCTTGTAGCCCCAATTGAATACCCTACATTCTCCCTTGCATGAACCGATAGCCATCCCCAACTCTAACTTTAAAGGAAGGGTTGTAACCAACGGGATTCCGAGCCTCCTTATTGCCTTTGTGCCAATGAAATTGTGGGAAGCCCCATTATCAATCAAAACAATCAGGTCCTCACCTTGATCTGCCCTTTTAATTTCATTGTTTTTGGTCCATGTATCCCCACCACCGAACTGATGGATAGCTCACATTGCTGTGTGGCGTCATGTGCGATCTCCTACCTCCCTTTTCATTTGTAGGGTCTGAATCTTTTTCCTCTTCATCAACAAAATCCCTCGAACTGTCTCTCCCAACACCTATGCCTCGTGAGAATTTGTCACATCTGACATAATCTCCTCTCTTTTTCTTTAAATTTCCTCTTCTTTTAGCTTCCTAAAGGGAAATCACCGTCGGTAAGTGTTGGATTGAAATTTTTAGTTGGCATTGACCCTGTGTTGGAGACATTCTCGGTGGGTGTTCGTTAAAGGAAGATGGTGCTTGAGAATTTCTTTGCTGAAGTGTTGAGTTAAATGAGTTTATGTTGGGTTGGGTAAAATTGGGTTGGGTCATGTTGGGTTAGGTTGGGTTTTATTGTAGAAGTTGGGCTGAACTTTGTTAAACTCATCAGGCCTGAATGAGTTGGTATAATGAGGAGTCCCATTAATATTTCCTCCCCTTTCATTTGTCGGCCCATTGTTTCGTGGCCTCCTCCAAGATTTGGTTTCTTTCTTCAATTTTTGGGCTAGGTGGTAACTTGGGTTAAAGAGTCAGGAT